AGGGCACAAAGTACTGTGTTAATTATCCATATTGTTTACTCACTGGTGTTTTACCCGTATTTTGAATAACACATTGCGTTTCGTGTTTTTTTTTTAGGGTTATAGGAAATGTCTGTGAACTTACCAATACTTTTTCAGTTTTTCTAAAAAAAAAATTCATACAATTCATGTATTTTAAAACATTTCTAGATGTGACCCATCTGCAACCTGACAAATACAGAATGCACTAATTATTAGCTTGTAAAGGGGAAACTCCAAGCTCTCAGTTCATTTTGGAAGGCCGCTAGTGGAGGATAGAGCAGATTAATGCTGTTAGCTCTGAGAAAGCCTCAGCTAATGTTAACACCAATAAAACATGCACAGTAGGGGCCATTAGTCACATGTGGGTTCTCTTTCCTGCCACATTATTAGACTCTTTCAGGTGGTCAATCACAAATCATCCCACCGGCTTTGACATGGAGATCAATAGTGTTAACGTCCAGTAACTTGATGCCTTGGTGTCTTTCATTTCTGTCATATTTACTTCTCTCGTCCAATATCTTTTTTCGCTTCTGCCTCTAGGATCGTCCAGAGGGACCTGAGAGTGGCAACCACACAGTACATCTTTGGTTCAATTGTTGACTAATAAAATCATTAATGAACTACATCTTAATTCATTAATTACTTGAGAAAGTGCTATGTTGTGAGCTCAGAGAGAGAACAAACTAAATTCTGTTTCATTGACTGTACCAGCAGCTTGGTAATCAATACTGTTCATGCTGGTTACATCCCTTATTAGGTTACTTGTGCATGTATTTCGATGAGTATTAGTTTATCTATCTATCTATCTATCTATATAATCTAATCTATTTTACACCGAATAAAATTAAACCTTGAATTATGTTAATATATTATGAAGAAAACATAAAAGACTATGATGCAAGATATTCCAGAAGATATAAAAGCAAAAAAGTCCAAAGTTTTATGTTAGGTGTTTTTTTTTTCTGTTACAGGGCTCTTTTTTCTGTATAAAAATGTGTTACAAACGTGTAGATAAATATTTAAAATGTTAAAAATTCTAAATTAAATCGTACATTTAACTGTTGATCTACTGTCCTTTGCTGTTCTTGCTTGTAGCTATGCATTGCTGATGAAATGCCGCTGGGTGTATTTTTATTTATTTATTTATTTTTAAGTTAAACTTCTTTTTTAAAGTAATGTTGCAGGTATTGTGCCAAAAAATTACTAGGTTTACTCTTTATATGGTCATGCCAGTTGAATTGATATTGAGTTGAATTGATTGAGTTGAATTTGATATAAGCTAGTTTAGAGAGAAAATGTTAGTATGCAGTTTTATTATGCAATGTACAAGTCTTGTGGCTGTATTTTCAAACATTTTGTAGTGTTTATCCCTGTGCAGTGTCTTGCCCCATTGACTGTAGACACAAGACTTGTTCTTACAAACTGAGGAATTAAAAATAGTTTTATTCGATAATCAATAACATGTTCATAGAACTTGAGCATAGCATAAGAACTTGAACGCTGAGTGTTCTTTTAAAATAATAGACTGTTTTCTCATATTTTAACATAAGAAAACGAACAAAAACTTCATGCAGTGAAAGTAAGGGCTGCCAATTTTTATTTAACATACTCTCTGCCAGAACTTGCTTAATCATCAGTGATTTTCTCTCTTCCTCTGAATTCCCTCTGCATGTCCTTCTGTCGTTTGCAGTGACTCATTTTTTGTCTTTCCACCTGTCTCTCCTCCATTTTCTCCTTTCCTTCCTTCCTCTCTGAATTGCTATCTCTTCCCCTCCCTCTCTTTCACTCACTCGTTCTTTCTGACCCCTGGCACTCTCAGTACTCAGATGAGAGGCTACCTAACACTGTGCAGAGTGATCAGGTGTTGTTGAGTAAGCGAGATAGACAGCCCATCTTCAGCGGTCAGCTTAATGCTGTCCTCCTCCAGTGCCACGTCCTCGTGCCCTGAACGACTCCTTTAGTCCGAACTACACATCCTTGTTACACATCTGCAGACCTCCTATCTCTTTTTCTTCTTCTTAATTTCATTTGCATTTTGAAGGTTGTATGCAGGATGGGAAATTAACTTTTCTTTTAGCTACAATGGTATGTTCACCATTCATTTCTTTATTTTCTCCCCCAGGTTCAAACAAGGCTCTCTGTGTTTAGCAGAAATCACTAAATGTTGCAAGCTGTAATCTCATATTAGTGGACTCTTCAAAAGAAAACCTACATTATAAGCCGATTGCACCCTGAACATTTCCTGAGCTGGTCTAAGATCTAATAAAAATGTACACATAAACAAGTATACTACGTAGTGACAGTTTTTTTTTTTTTTCAAGGCCAATCTGAGCCATCTTAAATGTTTCCCACCACAGAGCTGGTTCACCCACAACTGTGAAAAAAAAAAATCTCACTTGGCTGGTGACAGTTGTTAATTTCCCTCCCTAACAGAGTGCACTAGAACTCTTAAGGCTACGTTTATCCAGCAGCACAAATGTGCATGGTTATTTATCTGTCAGTTTTAGTGTGATTAAATATGGTATCACACACAGTTTGTTTATTAATGACAGTGGTCATGTGGGGCTCTGGAGATATTAATGATATGTCATATGAAGGTCCACTGTTATCTGAAAGCATTCAAAACCAAAGTCATATAATTAGGATTTGACAGGTGAACATGTGCCATAGTTGCATTCATTTATTATATAGTGTCATGATAATTGTGGTAAGAGTTTCTAGAGTTAGGGAAGATGCTATCTTTAATATTTACTTTAGACACTGATTTCAGGTGTTTCTTCCAGCTATTGGCTTGACATTGATTATTCATTCATATAGACAGTATTCAATCCACTTCTGTAAGCTGTTGTATATTGTAAAGGAAAATTCGAGAGTAGCCTGTGTGAGGGGTTTTCTCGCTCCTTTGCTGATAATATTCGGTTCTCTCCTGCTCAGTCCCTCTCCTCCTCTATAAGGAGATTTGTTGCTGAATAAAGCCAAACTCTCCGCAGAAGCCAAGTGCTTCATAAAACTGTAAAGGTGTAAAACAGCCTCTGCTATTAAGAGAATGGTGTGTGTGTGTGTGTGTGTGGGGTTATGTTTCTATACCATCTCCACCTTGCGTGAAATTTGGCACTGGGCAAACGGAGAGGGTGATCATTGATTAATCAGTATACGTTAATGAGCTGCATCGATCGAGAGACCAGTAGACTCAGCGCCGACCTCAGAGGGTGTGAGACCATGACGCCATCTTAGAGCAGCAAGGGAACCCATCCTAAACCAGAGACAGGTGTGCGTGAGACAGATGTGTGAAGGGTGTTGCGGGTGCAGCAGGGGCTTGACATTGTTATGATGGATGTATATGGATCACTGACCTGACAATGTAGCAGTGATCCCATGGTCCCACACTGCTGTGGCTAGGTGACGCCCACTAATTTGTCAATTTTTGGCCGCTTCATGTCACAGATTGAGGTATTCAAAAGGACTTCCCTGCTGGAAAGTACTAGCAAGGGCTAACAGTCCATATTAACCATCCAAACCTTGACCCCTGGTAGATAAGCACTAAATCAGCAACTAGAATAAACTTGTCTAGACGAGCTTGAGGATTCAAGTCAATGCAGCAGGAATAGATGTAAGAAAATATCAGAAAAAGATCACCTATGCTAGCAATGCAATATTATGTCGTTTCCTGAGCCAGTTTTTGTGTGTTTGCATGTGCAGAAATATATTTGCATTTCAGTATGTTTCTAAATCACATTATGCTAACGGTACTGGTGCGTAATGTGATCATGTGTTCAGTTGATATCAAAGGAATGTAAATATTACAGAATATGGTCCTAGCAGCAGGACAGGCTATCAGCGTTACCTCAGTATCATAAAGATCCATGCACGCACTCTCCCTTTCACATTCATTTCTGTTTATACCCATATTTTTTCTGATGATTGCAGTGTGGCGCGTTTCATGTTCATTGGTGAGAGAGGCGGATAAAGAGGCAGATTAATATCCCTGACTATAATCATTTTCATTTACGTACAAAACACCCACTCTCTCCCACTCACCCACTGCCTTATCTCTTTATCCCGTCTTTTACTCGTTTTGTTTTACATTGACAGTTCTTTTATTCAGTGTGCAGTTATTCAATCTTAGGCTATGGCGTGAATTGCACAATGTCATAAGCGTTTGGTCCCCAAGATATTACAAAACTCACAACCAATGGCAGCGACACCAAACAGAGATGTTTTTGTTTCAATAAAACTGCTAGTCAGAGTTGTGGACACTGGTGTTTTGCATTTTTGCCCTGTAGGTTGGCATAACAATCGCAGAGCTTCTGTCTCAGTGTCAGTGCTGTAATCAGAGAGCATGCTGTTTTTTTTCTGTTTGGCCAGTGGCAAGGTTACCGGAACTAAAACATGGCCGGACTCCAACTTCCAATTTCATGGCACCACTGAGTAACAATCTTTTATGAAACACAGTCGAAATCAAGAATTAATATGCAGACATGCTTGCCCATGTGTGAACATAGAAGAGATGATGTGTCTCGGGGTAGTAATTAGCATCCTAAGGGCAGGTCTTAACGCAACCTAGAATAGCCTATGCATGTGGGACGCTTTGAAAGACTGTAAATCACACCTTATAAAGGGCTTGCCTCTTCCGGCTCTGTTCATGTCATAAAATAGCAGTCTAACCCTTTCCGCCCTTATAAAAGTCTGAAGAAATCCCTTAACACTGCAACTTAATGAGCTTAGTGCATCTCTCCTTTATGTGGCCTATGGAGCATTGCTTCACATAGACAACTGTATTTCAGCTTTGTATCCTTACATTTGTACCACAGCCAGTTTGACTGTGAAGTGTCAACGGAGAAGCCAAGAAGAATGACATCAGTTTGAAAATTTAGCTCAAACTTTTTTCATTCTGCTTTTTTGCAAGAATACAGTTTTTCCTTAGTTGGTGGATAACCAGTTAAAAGTGGTTAAAATAGAACAGTTATAAATGAACCTACCTGGTCTTTTGTCTGTTCTTCCTCTGCGGCCGCCACATAACCGTACTTTTGATATGAGAACAAGAATTTGTTTCTGGCAAAGAGACTTGTTGCTCTTGGGGCACGGCTTGCGTTTGGTGGCTATTGGCCGGTTGGCTTGGTCATCCTTGACTGCCCGTTTTTGTCTGATGAGAGAACTGGCAAGAGCTGCCATCTTCCCCCCCCCTCTCACCTTTGGGAGGGGGGTCTCTGTTTGCTTAAGAGACCCTCTCTGGATGCACTTGTCTTTTTACCAGCAGCACAAAGAGATAAAAGTCAAGGGTCAAGCCTCGCACGGCGAGCCAAGAATTTAGGTAGGTTCCTCACGTGTCCGTGTGTTTCCCTCCAGTAAGGGAAGAGGTTAAGTTCTGGTCCACTCACAACCTGTCCATGGTTTGTCCTTCATTATGTTTGTTTCGCTAAATACATATTGACACCACAACAAATCCGAATAAAAAAATGTAAATCGACGCAGTCACATTTCCACAAAAAGATACAGAAAGAGGCTGACAAAGTCATCGTTGCGACATTGCCGACATATTTGCCCCCCTTCCTCTCTTCTCCCTTCCCCTCCCCTTGTGTCTTGTTCCTGAAGACAAAAACACTGACAAAGCTAAAGTTTAGCACACAGAAATGAAGAGCTTTCTCACCCACACATGGCTGGTCCTCGTGGAAAGTTCTTCACTCACTGGCAGCAGAATTATTCGACTCAAATCAGGAACAGATCCGGTCAGAAATGGGCAGATGGTCAGCCTGCAGTCCCTACGGCTAACTGGGGGGAAGTTGTGCTGGGGGAAAAAAATAATAATAATCTGGAGCGGTAATCCAGCTCTCCCACGTCCAGAGGCACTTCTGCTTCAGCTGCTGGGACAGACAAAGCCCTGAGTCGCAGGACGGGAGCCGGCAAAAGAAGAATGGACTCAGAGAAATTTCCCTTCTGCCTCTTCTGGCCGCGCTATCTCTCCCCACAGCCCTACAT